TAGGTGCTTGACCTAGTTGTAACTACAGGGAGGTGGGAGCTGTTAAAACATGACATCAACGCATTACCTTCTTGCTGTTACATTTACAGAGCACCTGCCTGGCAGCAGGATGTCTCACACTAAGACCTTGTGTTACCTTTTAGCCCAGCGTTCCAGCATGTCACAGGCGAGGGTAAACCTAGAAAGATTTCACAAACAATTGTTTAACTTAGACAGAATTAGGAAAGAAAACATCACAATCAGGGCTTGTGCTTTAAGGTCAAGATGCTATGAGGGAGGTATCAATGCAGCAGTTTTCTTACATCATCTTTTCATTAAATGCAAAGCATTAGAAGTGTGAATGAGTGTTTTTTTTTTTGCATGACCACTTAAGTAGTAATGTAAAAATTAACCACTGGCAGCTGGTTTATATTAGATGCTAGAGCTGAATGCAACAACTGGTTCCTCTGACCTGATTTCCTTAGACAGGAATTTCTCAAGCATCCTGACTTACATTTTACACACGTACGCCAGCTCCACAGTGTATCTCTCATTCCCTTTACATCTGGCTCTGCTGCTTTTCTGCTTTCCCTGACAGCACAAAGTGAATCTCACCAGTTTATCCTGCTGTTTATTCCATCAGATTCATGTTCGGCAGCACTGGTGAAACAGCGGCTTTAGAATATTTCACAGAAGACTGAGCTTGTTATTTCACCATTGGATTTGAAAACACAATTTTTTGTCATAAACAGTCTTCAGCCATATGACTGCAAGCCGAGTATTTTTTTTACATTCATTGATCTCCCTTTCTCAATCAATTCAGTCCTAATTTTAGCTTTATTTATGCAGCTCATTTTAAAAGCAACAAGGGCATACACACACAAAGTACTTTACATAAAAACAAGTTCCAACAAATCTATAAAAAACTGCACATAATATCAGGCAAAGGATGACAAACCAAACATTCTAAAATGCAAATTTATCAGATGTAAAGAAGTTAGAGGACAGAAATGGTAGCTATAAAAACCTGGATGTTCGTAAGCTAAGGTCAACAACTCTAATAAGTAAATAAAAAATCTAGTATAAAATAAACAAAATCATAAAAAAAATTGTAATATGAAATAAAAATAGATGTACAGTAGAAGAAATCAGATTTCTACCCACACTGAATAAAAATTCTTTTTTTCACTTTCAGACTATGACACATACTATACTTTTGTTTTAGGACAGATGGAATTGTCCAAATTATTTTTATTTTCCCTCTAAATCAAAAATATTCCACCATGATTCAATACTTCGTTCGAGTCCAGAGGTATGTTTCCACAGTGTTTAGTGAAACGAAAATTAAGACTGGAGTTGTGGCTAGACCCGCCAGAGGCAGTGCTTTAAGCACTGATTGATCATCTTTAACCATGCTGATGTCGAGAAATAAAAATAACAATGTCACACTTGACCTACCAGTGAACAATGTGAGTCTTTATAATCAGGTGACACCGAGAGCTAAGTCCTGTTAATTTTCTAATGTGCACTTTGATAGTCATCTGAGATTTATATAACAGTTGTAAATTTCATTCTATTTCATCCCTACTTACCTCCAGAAGTGGTCCTTCACACACTAAAGGACTTATGTGAACACCACATACCTCAGTGGGATGTAGATAGATGCTGCTCCTGGATGCTTTGAAGGAGATGGGGCGCAGCCACATTCAAAGGAGCTTGGTGACTTTCAAGATGCTTCACTGCATATAATGTCCAGCCACATGCCACTCATGGCAGAAAACGAGTGACATCTCACTTCCGCAGGCAGCCTTAGGTCCTTCAAGTATAAGGCTTAGTGATTAACAATGGCGGCTGCTGCTCACTGAACAGGGAAGGCTATTTAATTATTGAAATCAAACGTAATGTATTGCTTGTACAAATGTGAAACACATAAAACACATAACCACAACAGGTGAAAATAACTGTTGCGAAATGTTCTGAAATAATAAACTCCAGAAAAATTGGCAAGAGTTCAGTACTAGATGATTGTTTTATAGAGTTATCACTTTTTACTCTCTCCTCTGAATCGAATGGGGAAAACCACAACTCTGTCTGGCTACTTTCAATCAGATCTTTTAAGGTGTTCTATCATTCAGCATTAAATAGCCGGCTTCATGACCTGGCCCTGCTCCATAGACCCCCTTAAAGGTTTAGCCACACTGGAAGTGACCGATTTTTGTGTTATCTGATCTACTTTCTTGCTGCTTGCTTCAATATAAGGAGGCTCAAGCCTTGACTGGGATTGATTGACAGGCAGCTTCAAGCTGCTCCATAGTGGAGGGAAGATCACACCCAAGAGTGTGCTCTGATCAATGCTCAAATGAAATCAAGTGCATTTTGGTGCACATTTAATTCAGTTTAATGAGTACAATATGAAGTTTAACAATGCACGTTTCACCAGTTATTTTAAGAAATTTACTGGGGAGGTTTAGCCTCCCTAGTTTTCAAAGAAAAAAGCATCACTAGCATCAAATCCATTGCCTAGTTTTCCAGCCGCTGCTTAGAAGAGCTAAAAATATTGCCCATATTACCAGAACATTGATGTGTTCACCTCTCTGCCATAGAGACCATGTCCCTTGTGCTGTCTGACCCTGTCAATGGTGCACCCCAGCACACTGAAGTCAACTTGCGGTCGACAAAGGAGAAAACCAAGCGGAAACATTGTTGTTATGAAAAATTTGTTCCTGTACTGATACCTGTACTGATTTGGGAGGTGATGGCCTATTGGTTAGAGCAGTGTGCTTGTGCTCTGAGAAGGTTGCAAGTACCTGGTTCGATCCCCACAGCCTGCAGTCTGGGTTCCTGAACAAGACTCTTAACCCCACACTGCTCCCCGGGTACCGCACAGTGGCAGCCCACTTTTCCCTAAGGGGATGGGTTAAAATGCAGAGGTAAATTTCTCCAATATGAGATCAATAAAGTTAATTATTGAGCTTTCCAAGTAGGGTTCAGACTCAAGCTGTTCAACCACACCTGGAGGAGGAGTCCTAAGTGAACTACACTAGGTACAGAATATGCTGCACTAGTGGTGGTGCCATGGTGCTTCTAAATTCCAAGAAAATGCTCAATATAATCTCCACCCAATAGGGCATCTCCAGGCATTCATGGAGATGAGATTCATAGCAATGTCCAGGAAGATGATCTACTGTAAGGAAGACATCATGCTTTTCTCTTGATATTTACCAGCAGGCATGTTACATGATCAAGCACCAATTTCCTTTCATGGACAGCCTTATACTGGGTCGCTGCATGAGGGAGCCAATCATCCAGCAACCCTTTCTACTTTTGTGTACACCCCGGGAGACAACGTTCAAATAAGAGGACCCTTATCTGGAGGTTCTTCCTTTAGAAACCAAGTAGTATAAAACTCTATTTGGGCAGGTTTCTTCATTCAGTGCCTGTGCCATCATCAGGTCGCAGATAATGGTCATCATGACCAGACCAGGGACTGTGTACCGATGTCAGAATTGAAGACAGGAGAGGGTGGACAGCACCCACAAGTTTGGGGTGTATGTACAAGTGCTCTCATAATAAAAGTGAAGACCTGCAGAGACATATCAACCAGGCCTCAGAAGGAGGGGTCAAGTGGAACAGTTCGAATGAGGACAGGTCCAGCATCAGATGCAAGAGAGAGCTACGTTAATTTGTCAAACACAGTATCATTGCTGCGCCAGTGCTTAGCCACCCAATCCCCACCACTCTGCATCCTTCAGCTACAGGTGGCTCAGAGCATGGTTTCACTGGGTCAGTTTGAAGGTTTGCATAGCAAGGGAGGGAAGATATAAAGGCACAAAATAAATAAAAGAAATATGAATAGGCTTCATTACTAAAGAGGCAAACAGATAGAAAATATGGGTTTAGCAGAGAACATTGATAAAAATAAATCCTGGAGAGAACCGTAATAGAGACTTAAGATTGCTATCTTTGTTACAGTGCAATTTTTTTTTTTTTGTAAACTTTTTTTAAATAATATTTGGTCTAAAACTGGCTTAATGTTAAAATGTTGCACCTGCACATAACATTTAATGGCACAGCTTGTTACATGCTATGTCAAGAGCCCAAACCGGCATGATGGTGTTTTTAAGTTACCCTAGAACCTGCAATTGAAAATTAAAGCTATGTGTCCTACTGCTCCATAGCAGTGGAAGCACAGTTCACATTTTGAGCACTAGTGTTACAGATGTATTTTCTTTACAATATATTTTTTCAAGGATACAGCTTTTGTCAGTTATGGTATTTTAGGAGTCGGGTACAGAAGATTTTAACTGTCAAAAGGATTGTTGGATTCATTGTAATTACAGAAAAGAAAGTCAGAAGCAAGGTAAATATGGATTTATCGCAACTGATATTGCCATCAAAATATTTTAAATTGAAGTCTTAATCTAATCTTTGTGATGTCATGCAGCCTCATATCTGAACGATAGTGTCTGTTTTTGTGCAGTATGTGCAGCTGTCAGCTGCAACACCATGGTAAACTATACTATACTATTTATATGTGGTTAAATTTGCAGCTGTTTTCATATCATTGTTAAAGCAATTAAATCTTTTATCATGCCAAAAGCCGCACTGCAGCATCCTCTACTGCTACTGTTTGTAGCTGCCCTCTTGTCAGGTTTAATGCTCCACCTCACCAGGAATCCTTCATTTCCTTGATTATTTTTCTTTCTCTTGCTCCCCCTACTGTATCTGCCTTTCTTCCATTTTCCCTTATGCTATTCCTGCTTTTTTATTTTAACTATCCTTAAGCGCTACCAATATCTTCTGCTGGTAAGCACATTGAATAATTAAGCTTCTTGCATGTTTTTTGGTTGAAAACATACTGTGCAGGGTTGTCCATTAGCATATACATATAGATACACTGGTATAAAATGACTAGAGGAGGATAAGGAGGCAAGAAGCATTGCTTCATGGGGGTGTGTTGAGTGGGAGGAGGGATAAACCGACTGTCAGTCAGTGACGCCAGTGGAACACGTGCGTCGGCTATGGCAGGGAAGACGTTGTGCAGCCCGTTATCTGGCTGTGGGCGAGAAGAGGCAGAGGCAGCTGCAGCTCCCTGTTGCGGATGGGTTGATGGAGGGGTTGTACTGTATGTCTGTGTGGAAATGAGTGTGTATTTGTGTGCATGCATGCCAGTCTCAGACTGTGTGCGTGTAGTATTTGCATGAGCTGCAACCGGAGCTGCTGCTGCTGCAGTTGGTGAATAAGACAGACAGGGAATCGGAGTATGGGTAGCATGAAAGGAACCAGATTAATAATGCATAGTGCCGGTTGCATGCTCTGCATTAGTTAGTTTTACTGAGACCTGTGGCTGCCTACAATCTGCCTGACTCACTGACTTCTGACCTGCCTTTCTGCCTGCTTGACCAACGCAGACATGTCTCACTACCATTTCATCAAATGTTGTAAGTAGCACCTCAGAGAACCTTTCTTGTTCCCCTGATGACATTTCTGTTGTGTTTTTCATTGTATCTAGTCTATCTGTGCTGTAGCAGTGGATTTACTATAATAACTTCTATGCTTGATATTACGATCATCTTGTAGCAAATTATGGTTATCTGCTCTTCATTGTAGCACAGTCTGAACTTTCAATTGGCATTTCCCTTGGATAGTGTGCCTGCTGTAAGTGGGTGTGTGAGCATGCTGCAGAGGAGCCGCTGCAGATGTGAAAAGTTGACCAGTGAATGCGGCAGGTAGCAGCAAAGGAAAGAAAGATGAAACAGAACTGCAGAGGTGCAGATCCCGTGAGTGTTTGCCATGTCGACGAAGCATAGACAGACCAATGAGAGAGATTATAATTTAAGTCAGAGAGAAGCACAGATGGAGGAAGACTGAGGGTCACACTGGAGCGACAGACAGAATGACAATGATTTGAAAAAAGGACGCCAAAATGGGATGACTGGCACTGAGAGATACGTGAAATGTTGCAAAGGGGTGACAAGCAGGCTCAGATGGGAATATGAAATGGATGGTCTGGAATTTAAGTTGAAATGCAAGAAAAAAAGGGGGAAAGGAAGGGATTCATGAGATCTATTAGCAAGGTGATGCAGAGCTTTACTGTCCCCATTACTTTAAGGACCTTACCCTACGTGTCAATCACCTTGAATCGGCCCTTTCAATGTAAATGGTTTGTTTTCCTGTGTGTTTGCATGTATGCAGTGTTACATATTACATTGTCCCACACTGCTATCCATAGTTTTAGATATAGCCTGCATGTTCTATGTGTAATCAATAACTGATAGCTTGGAGATGGCGGGGAAAAGCTCATGCTCTGTTTCCCTCTCTCTTTCTCTTGCTCAACATTCTTTCCATTTCTCATTCCTTCATTTATACTTGCGGTTAAACCAAACATCTGCCTCTCATTCATGTTTTCATGTATTAGTCCCCAGCCACTCATCATAGAGCAGGAATGGTTACAGTGGGATCCTTTAGTGCAGACAATATTTACATTTGAGATTGGTTTAGGAAAAAATTATGAAAGATTTGTTAGAAGCTGTATAGTTTGTATTTAAATATACAAACAGCCTTCTGTAGTATATAAATATGAAAATATATATACAGTTGATAATGCAGAGGTTGTGTAAAATTAGAGCCAAGGGAATCAGCTGTAATGTATTTTTTTTATTTATTCCAATGCAAAATATTTTTGAAATTATTCCATCTGATCCCCGATTGCTGATATTTTGGATCTTTCTTCAAGCCGCTGAAGATCCCCTGATGACAAATGTTACGCAACTCAGAGTTTAAGCAATAAAGAAATATTTATTAACTCATGAAAATTAACAATGCAAATAGATATATTCCCATTGTATTTTATCTCAAGGCATGGCTGCAGAATGCAATAAAGAATTGCCAAGCTGATATTCGTCCACATCTAAGACATACTAGATGACTGTAACTATAGAGTAGCACATTATTGCAGCTGCAAGTATTTTGTGGTTTATCCCCTCCAGCTTTACCTAGCCAGACCTTCAGATTTTTTCCTGTTCTTTTCAAACAAGTCAACTCTGAACAACTGAATGACAGGCTTCTTTGAGCAGTAATTTTAGAATCTTGCCAAAGATCACTTGTTTAATTATGGTCTGACTGTGTCACTCTAAAACACGATTATACCCTTAATTAAAAAAAATAATACTAGTTATATATTTGGCTCTGGCTGTATGCTCAAGTCTATGTATCATTTTCTAACCAGCCTCCCTGCATCGAATGAAGAAAAACCTTCTTACAGGATGAATACTCAAATACCACATTCCTCTGAGCTGATGCTCTTTTTGTAAAGTGGTAAATGGTAAATGGCCTGTACTTATATAGAGCGTTTTCAAGTCAGGAGACTTGACCAAAGCTCTTTACACTACATTCAGTCATTCACCTATTCACACACACACTCACACACTGATGGCGGCAAAGTACAATGTAGCCACAGCTGTTCTGGGGCTCACTGACAGAAGCAAGGCAGCCATACACTGCCATACTGTACACCAGTTCCCCCAACCAACGTCAGTTGGCAATGCAGGTGAAGTGTCTTGCCCAAGGACACAACCCTCTGTTTGCAGGGCAAACGTCTTCATCTGACGCCACTGTTGCCCCCTTGTATTTGGGGGCAATGTGTTGCTTATGCTCACAGCAAAAACTGGTCTAAAAATCAAGGATTTTTGTTCTGCTATGGTAGTTTTGAGTGCTTACAGCTTACCTTGAGTCTAACAGTGAAGCTATAAAGTCTAGCTAAATTTTGAAGTTTTCCACAACCTTGCATCGCAACCACCGGTAAATTCAAAATAAGAAAAGTTATGAAATGTTTTAAGTTTCTTCAAAAGGATTTATGCAATTATCTTGCTGTATTATAAAGATACTGTTGGGGTCTTCTGCAGTTAATTCTTTAGATAAACATTTCAGTAAAATTTCTCCTGATGTTATTGGGGATTTATATCAGCCAGCTTCGTATATCTGGCTTGGTTCAGACCATTTTATTCCCCCATTTAATATAGGATTGATCCTTCGACTGTAACAGTGATGGATCAGATGAGTCTCTTTGTAGAATATTGCATTAGCTGTTTTTGTGTGTACTCTCTTAGTCACAAGCTAAGTTACAGGTAGAAAGGATACTGTTGAAGCATCTGGCATTAGCAGTGTTATAATGAGATTTACTTTCTCTCACACCCCTCTGTTTGGTGCCTGAATACAAAACAGCTTTTTTCACATTCTAACTAGACCAGATGGCACTGGTGTATTGTCCAGGAGGTGTCCGTGTGTATATGTGCACAGATTGGAGTGTGTTTAGGGGTGTGTGTGTATATTGGGGTTGAGAGGGCAGGTGTTTGAATAAATAAAGTAGAACCACAGCACAAGTGCAAAGGAGCAGCAGATATTTTGATGAAATTTTTTTATTTGCTGTTTTTTGTTTTTTTCTTTATCCTAACTGCAAAATAAAAGAAAAGAAAAGAACAAAAGAATTACATTTCATATTAGAACCCCAAATGGGTAGTTCAACTTAAGTATATTAGACTACGATATATTAGATAAATATCTGGAAAGAGTTATGGTTCAGTTCATAAATAGGCATATGTTGTACTTTAAAAATCTTAGGTGACCTTTAGTCAGTGGTTTCAAAAGTACACACATTTGTTACTTAAGTAGAAGTATAGATACTGCAGTTTAAAAACACTCTAGTAAAAGTTTAAGTATCAAATGTACCTCTTAACACAAGTAAAAGTGAAAAAGTGTGTGCTCCAAAAACTAGTTAAAGTATAAAACTATAAAGTGACCTTTAAAAAAAAAAACAGCTAGATGCCACTATATGAATTGAAAGCTCAATTTTTGGACAATTTCAAAAAATTTCTTTGAGATAGGGCCAAGGATGAAGGAGGTCTTGTTGGTCTCCATCTTCATCTCCCGAAACTATCTCTCCTGTGACAACCTTTCAGTTCATGGTATAGAGTTTGAAGAACACCTGCTTGTTTCTGATGATTTCCTTTGGCGTTAGCACAAATTTTAGGAATAGCTAACCAATGAGTGTTGGCGCCAGTGATCTGCATCGGATGGCGCACATGACGTGAAATAAATATTTATAAACATTAAACTAAAGCCAAGGGTAACTTAAGTACAGTAACAAAGTATTTTTACTTTGTTACTTTAGACCTCTGCATTTAGTTGAGTGTGACATTAGTGTATTCATTATTATTTTCTCTCACAGAGTACTTTTATTTTTTAGGAAAGCATGAGTTCCATTTTTTTTGTTTCATGTGTTGTAATTCTAAATAAAGTATTGCTTCTAAAATTTAGATTAACATTTTCATAGTCAGATAGCAAAAGCTTTCAATCAAAAATAGAATGTGTTTTTGAAAATTTGAACTAGGTGAAGCCAAAACATAAACAATTAGAAGAGTTCAACATAGAGCATATGTAGAGATAGAAACATTTGTCATCTTAAATGGGAAAGGCCGTCCTCGCCTGGCCTGGTTGTTTTTCTTTAAAGGGTCCAAAATAAATGCCAGACACCATATTGCTTAACACAAGTCAAATGTCATTGGCATCACCACTGCTTCTTGAAAAACATCCAAATATAATTTTGTCACCAACCACTTTTCCTAAAAAGTCTGGGTCATGTTGTCTGTGGCTCTTTGAATAACCATACATGTGATTCTGCTATCTGCAATAACCTGGATATCTTTGCTTTGTTTTAGATTTTTATTTTGTTTATATCCTATCAAACAGTTAAAAAGGAATCTTAACTCTCAAATTTGGTTAGTAGAAAACTGGGACTAAAAGTTCATGTCAGACACAGCACTTTTACACACTAGGGGCATTTGAAAAGATGATGCAGTAATGGGAAAGAGTAAAATATGGCTGGACAACATGCTGAGCTTCAGAACTGTCCCGGGAACCAAACATTTGCCCCGATGAGCAGACTGAAAGAGAGATACAAGAAAATAGTTACTGCATGCTAAGACACAGACAGTAAAGAGACTAAAAGGCTCCAAGGACTGAAGCATAATAGGAGAAAGAAACAAAGAAGCAGAAGAGTACTTTATGACAAAAAAGAATAAGATATAGCAGCAAGAAAGGAGAATTTAGACAAGTTGGTGAGTCACAAAAAAATATATAAGTAGTGTCTCTGCAAAAACATCTTTATTCATTTATTTTGCTCATTCTCTGGGCTCTCTGTGACCTGAATTTGTCTTGTTAGGCAATCAGCTACAGTTTCGTCTAGTGTTTAAACTGATAGAATATAGCAGTAAGAGCACCTGTCTACTATTATGCTCCCATTTTGCCAAGCCAATCTTTAAAGTTCTGTGAGTTTTAACTCCCTTTTTCACAACACTATTCTTTGTTCTGCTCATAGACAGCAATGTCATATGTGTAATTATTACGACAGGGCCTGTAAAATAGGCTTTGCCGAAAACCTGTGTGTAAGCTGCATCAGTCACCTATGGATGATAATGATATGGATACACTGAAGAAAGTAAGAAACAAAGAATGCTTTTCATACCAGCTGTCAGTGTTTATCATATGATTGCTGAATATTGCCCATAAACAATCTTTCCTTTGCAAGTTTTTGAACACCCACTTTAAGCAATATATTCATGTATCTCTGGTGTTTCCAAAAACTTATATTGTGATCTCACTCTTAGCCCACCTGCTGCACTTGCTAATGATTCAGGCAGCATGACAGTCTCACCAGCTGCTCATAATGGGATCTGTTTCACTGAGCAACAGGGAGATTATGCACAGTCAGTAGAATTATAACACTGCTGGGCTCAGAGAAAACAAGCTATAAAATCCGGCAACACCTCATTCAACCCACCTTGGGCCAAACAGCTACAAATATATTTCGCAGTAAATATGCTAAATGGTTGCCCACACACAACAGGCCACCTGCTGACTCTATATTTGAACACAAAAATAATAATACAGATGTACAACTTTATCTAATGTTGATCCTGAATCATCTCACACAAGCCTTGTCTCATTAGCTCACTGTCAAACTGTTAAGTTAACACCTTGGGTGTTTTTCTCTGAGTGACGTTAGTATATAGTTTTTATTATACTAACAGTTTTGTCCACATCTATTCCTGAAAATCATTTTCTTTTTCTCTCCTTGTCTGTCTTTAATTTGCAGGTTGTTTCCAGCTATGTAACGTTTTTCGTCACAACATGGAGATAGACCAGTGTTTGCTGGAGTCTCTCCCAATTGGCCAGCGCCAGCGCCTGGTCAAACGGATGCGCTGTGACCAAATAAGGGCATATTACGAAAGGGAAAAGAACCTTGAAAGGCAGCAGGGTGGAGTCAAAGTTCGAGCCCCATCCACCTACGGCAGGAAGCATCGCATCCGCTTCAGGCACACCGACCTCATTCAAGATGCAATCATTCGCCATGACAACAAAGAAGGTGTGTGTGTCTGAGGTTTATGGTGTCATATAGCTATCCCTGACCAAACTGTATTTTAAATGCATTATGTGATACAACATCAATCTGCCCTTAAAGTGAGGTGGATTAAATTATATTATATTTAAAACTATTGAAAAATGGATTGTGTATCTGGGATTTTAGGGTAACGAAACGCTTTGAGTAATCTGAAATCCAGCCTGTTTGTTAGGGTGTTAGAGGTTATTCAGAGACCACTAGTGAACAAACATTATGAAGATGAACACAGCTGGAAGGTCAGGGAGAAAGTTGGGGAAATCTTTGAAGTGGTTTTAGATTATAAAAGAATACCATAACCTTAAGACATCCATCCATTTTCCGTCACACTTATCCCAAGCGGGGGTCATGAGCTGCACCGAGTTATCTATTGGCGAGAGGAGGGGTACAGCCTGACAGGTCGCAAGTCTATTGCAGGGCAACACAGAGACAAACAACCATTCACGCACACACCTAAGGAGAATTTAGAGAAACCAATTAACCTAACAGTCATGTTGTTTGGACTGTGGAAGGAAGCCGGAGTACCCAGAGAGAATCCAAGGAGAACATGGACACTCCATGGGAATCGAACCCGGAACCTTCTTGCTGCAAGGCAGCAATGCTACCCACTGCATCACTGAGCAGCCCACCTAAAGACATATGAAAGTTGAACTTTTATTCATCATCCACAAATAAAAATACTACAATGCACCATATGTCAGGGGGGTTAGTGGCCTAATAGGGCAAAGTGCTTGAGTTCTGAAGAAGGCTGCAAGCAGGGGAGACTGAGGAGTGTTGCAACACTTTAGCCTCTTTAGCGGGTTAACACAGGTTTTTTAAACACGGGTCAACCCGCAATCTGCATTTGATTCCTTTCCCATTGGCAAAAAAAAAGCTTGGTTGTTTGGCTGTAAATGCTTGTTTGGCACTGGCCAAATCTCTCTTACCAGTGCTGCGCAATATTTGATAAATGTAGGCAGAGTTGTTTCGATTTGTTAAACTACATGACTGCCGCAATGTTATGACTTATGTTAACTGAGCACAACTGTATCGGTTAAATTAGCAGGTCGAACCCGGGTCTGATGTTCAAACTGAGTGTTGATCGAAGCTGTTTCAAGGTTATTTTGACCTTCAATTTACTTGGAAATTCAAATATTTTAAAGACCATGATAAAATAATAATAAAAAACTTAAATATAATTAAAAAAATTTATTTTTGAAGATAGCAACACTTCTCTAAACTAATTCTCCTTTAACATAAAACTTATGAAAGGAGTACATCTACAGTAGTGACAATATTAACACCGTAATGTATATTAGCTTCACCTCAAAATGTCATGGTAGCTTCACTTAAGCTTGTGTACAAAAATTTGATTTTTGACATAAACATTAGCTACGTTGTCACCAGCATTTTTTTTCAACAAGCTTATTGACTCAGGTTGGATGGAGAAGCCAAGCATTTCACTCATGTAAGAGAAGAAATATTTTGTTAAGATGCATTTTTTCTTTTACTCAGGTAAGTGCAACCGAGTAAATGTAACTAGTTACTACCAAACTTTGGTTTTTAAGTTCACAACCAAATATTGTTGAGAATCACACACAAAACTAACATTACTGGTTACCAAGGCCGGTATGCAACCATGTACTCCAAAAACATTTGCTGCTGTATTGTAAAGCAAAAGGTCCCTTACTAACTAGTAAACTTATACTGTAGAATAGCAAATGATTATTTTTACATTAAATAACTATTAAATTATCACCTTAAAATTGCACTTTAATTTTTTGGTATACTAAAAAATGTCAATAGGTATAAGGAGTGTGCTCGGTGGGTAGCATATAAAAACGGGAGGACATGTTGACAAATGAGTGACAAACAGCACGTGGGCCAAAACAGAGCTGCCCACTGTAGCTTACTCAGTTTGTTCAGCTGGAAATTGCCAACTCAACTGAGAAGAGCCAATAGAAGCTTTTATTTTTGTTCAAACTGTCCTCAAGGACAAAAGTACCAAAGCAGGGACAAACTCTCTGAAACATTTATGAAACACTCAAATAAAACATTTCTTTTCTGTTTTCTAAAATGTCCACCAACACTAGCAATCTTTAGAAATAAGACTAAAATGGTGATAATAATAAAATTCAATTTCTTGGTTATTTATCATTCTTTACACAAATATTTGTTTGTCCAGTTTTCTTTTGTTTGTTTTACATTTTATTGTTAAAATCATACACAGATGTATTAACCCAACCGAGACAATGGGATCCATTTAAACCCTATATACTCTTTTGTTTTACTCACTTTCCAGTCTTCCGACTCTATTCAATCAGCTATTTACCAAAAGATCATAATAAATAAGGGAATTACTACTGAGAATTAAAAAGAATGGTTAAACTGCACCAAAGAGTTTGGACTCATATCTTAAATACTCTATTTTATCATTGCAATGAATTGCCATTACAGAGTTAGGGTAATCAGTACAAATAGAAAATGTGTTTGCTAAAAATGTTTTATCAAACAGAAGTTTTAAATGTTTTATGATATTTTACAGTGTACATCAGAGCTTTTCGGTAGTGGCCAATCCAATAAAACATCCTGCATGGAAATATGCCAAACGCCTCTACTGTATAGTGGTTCCCATGGTAATCTTATTCATCTGTAAATGTATCAGTACAAGATGTCTCTCTCCTAATGCAATTTTCTATTTTTGTGTGTAATGCAATTTTATTTTAGAAATCAAAACAGTGTTATAAACCTTGTCTTTATTGGATAGGTATAACCCTGTGATCCTTTACATTTCTGCTGTATTCAAAACCACGTCTTTTTTCAAGAAACATGATTAGCCGTATTTCTTTTATTGTCAGTGTATGATATCCTTATGTATAGATTTATTTTTCTCTGTCTGACTAACTAAGTTTGGGAGTTTGATCCTTAAGAAAACCACAAATCTGATAGTAAAATCTGACTTGCTGCAGCTCTGCTTTGTGGTACAGCTTTTTCCCTCGAATGAAAATAACAAAAATTTATGCCCAACTGTAGTAAGAAAAGCCAATTCATTCATTTAGCTATTGTTACATTGACAAGACTTACACACTATCCTCTTGGATACTATACATTTTCTCCCCCTCTCAAGTTCTTTTGTAAGGATAGCATTGCAGCTCGCTCTTTAAAACACCCTCTTCAATGGTTTTACAAGATTATTTTGTCAATAAATGTGTGCAAGTCAAGAGGATTTTACACTCTACTCTGCTGTGCATTGATTTTTGTCCGAGTTCAGTGCCTTTTTTGTTTATTGTGCCGATTGCCAGTCATTTACCCAGCAGTAGGGAAATATCTGTGTCCCACCAGCACTCTTTGCAGGTCAGTGTGATAATCTTTCCTCCCTGGCTGTCTGTGCGTGCTTCAGCTGAGCCCTTTGTGAGCAGCTGGTGTCTCTTTGCTTTGACCGGACTGCAGCTTGTAGCTGGCTTCTTGGCTCAGCATGTTTATCCCTCTGTGTTTTTTCCAGATATCGCTTTGAGACTAAACTAGCACCCTTTGCTAACAATGTGAACGGTGGAGCGACATCAACCATTGATGATTCAGTCTTGGAAAAGTTTCTTGCTTTTGTTGGGACTTGTGTTATAATCCAAATCAAATGTAAATTTACTGGTTATCTTACTATTTTTTTAAAACTGTAGTGGTGTTTCTACTTATTGCCCTTATTGCTCAAATGGACTAATGCTATATATGTTTAATTAAAGGGTAACCTTTAGGCCTTTGCCTTAAGAAAGTAGTGCCAATGAAGATTTAACAAGAAATATGATTCTTAACCGTGAAATTATCAAGCTATTTTTATCTTTCATTTAGAAAAGACCATCTGGATATGAGGGTAAAACTCTAGTTAGCCTGCTTACTATATAAACTTGAAAGACTCTGACAGCATATCCAAATGCTCTACTTTTATAGAAGATAAAACTGTATGTGTGTTTATTTTGTTATGGATATGTCATAATATTGTGCTGCAGAATTTGCTCAATGTTTTCACTATATATGAACACATCCCCTTAAGCCGAATAAGCCTCCCTCCACCTTTATTTTCAGCTTAGAGAGGGCTATTAATCAATGTTATTAGGACAGACATTCTGTGAGCAAACTTGTAGATGTAAAACACCCTGTTATCGAACATTGAGTAGAAAAGGTTAAAGGGTGAGTCAACATGGAGCTAAATTAGAAGAAAGCCATGCATCGCTCTTAAACAAATGGATGTGTTGTCAAGGGAATTTGATTAAAACTGTTTTACTGGTTGCTCTACAAACAGTGGATGATGATTATCAGTCCTGTTAGCTGTATAATACAATAAAATGATCAATTACAAAGTTTTCAAATATAAAGACACTACATAAAATTAATTTATCTGTCAAGACCCATAAAATAAATCTAATTCAACAACATTCCAACATACGGAAGCCGAGAGCGGTCATACCCAACTTTTTTTTTGTCCTTTGTCTTCTCGAGATAACGTCATAAGTATCTCGTTATCACGGCTTAATAAATAATTGTTTACATTTGTAAACATTTATTTATTTCTCGAGTTAACAAGATCATTAACCTGTATGAGTAATGAATGAGGCTGGCCTAACAGCCCTGGATTCCCAGTCCATCCATGTCTGCTGGGCCAGTGGTTATGCAGTTGCGGTACCGTGTGTGCGCAAATAATATTTTTTTGTTTCCTATTTCTTTTCACTCCTTGTATGGTTGTGGTGGATGATTGGATTGCATGGAATGCAGTAGAAACAAATGTGACTGTTTTTCAATGAAAATCTTGAATCTGGACTCATTTTGGGGGTTAATGCATCTTATACCTGTTATAGGCGTAACACCGGGGCTGTGCAGAAAACACCCGGCACTTAGCCAGTGGAGGCATAGGTCTAATTGCTTATGAATCAGAAGTGGAAGCAAATCATCAAACCAACAACGTAGTCTCGTTACCTAAAAGTTAAACACAGGATTAT